TACATTTGATAAAGATTATATCTCTGTATCACATTTGAAAGATTTTATCATGCAAATAGATAAACATACATTTTCTCTAAAATAAATTGTTTTTATACACTATCTTGCCCTGAATATTTTATTAAATTGATCATTAAGGTGATATTACATTTGATAAAGATTATATCTCTGTATCACATCTGGAACATTTGATTATGCAAATAGACAAGCATATATTTTCTTTGAAATAAATTATGTTTTTATGCTTTATTTCACTTGGAATATTTTGTTGAGTAAGCAGACATTGCCTTTGATGATGTAACATTTTTATTCTTGAAATAACTCAGATTATTTTATCATGTTAATATGCATAGAGAAGTAGATACTGCTTTTGACAGAAATGGCATTTGTATCCTTTATAACATTCAGAATATTTTATCATATTAATCGATCATTAGATATCAGCCTCTGACAGAGATTATGCTGTTAACCTTTATCTTAATAGGAATATCTTTATCGAGCTAATCAAGAAATAGACATTGCTTTTGATGGAGCTTGCATTTGTATACTTTATAGTATACAGAACACTTTACATTATTAAAAGATAAGTAGATATTGTTTTTCACATAAATTACATTTCTATTCTTTTTCTAAACATTTCATTGTGTTAACAGATAAGTAAACATTGGCTTAGATATTTCTTTGACATTTGAAATGTCTACTTATCTGTAATTCAGATCCAAATATTCTGAATGAATTTAAGGATGGAAACCTTAATTAACACTGTCAAAGACTATGTATCCATAAAAGTAATAAAAGGTTCTAAGATATACAGTCAATGGTGAAATTATTCATACACCCATCAATTTTGAATATTTTTATCCATTTCTCAGAATCTAATGCCTGTATGATGCCAGGTATTTTATGTTATTAATCACAAAAAAAAAAAAGTATATAAAACTCAATTTTCAGAACAAAAGGTTAAATACAACAAATTTGACAGGTGAATTATACAAAATAGGAAAAACAAGAATAAACTAAAAAAAAAGTAAAAAACTACTAAAAAAATTACTTAATTGAAGTATGACTCACACTAAAATAAATACATAAAATAAAAACATTTAATGAAATCGGAATTAAAAATGTAAAAATTAATTTAAATTTTAAAGTTTAAAATTTTGAAGGGATGATTTGCAAAGACTGCTGTGTTTAATCATGTAAACATGATTAACTACAGAAATGAAAATGAAAGAATTGCAGATAGCCAGATTTTTATGGAGGATAACTCTTAAAACATGTGACGGACATCCATACTTATGAAAATGGGAATATTTCTATACTAAAAAAATTTGAAATTATTTTTAAAATATTACGGGCAAATCATTAAGCTTTTCAATTTTGATTTGTAAATATAGTTTTCATTTAATAACAATTAAAGTAATGCAGAATTTTAAACAATTTAAATTATTATAATTAAAATTTAAAAAAAATGAAAACAATTCTTGTAAAAATTTATTATTCATCGAAAAAAAAATTTTCTTAAGATAGTGTCCTTAATAAATCTTATTTCTCAAACAATTAAAAGCTTTTCTAATTAAATAACATCATAGTTTTATTACATTTTTTATTTTATGGTTCAGAACAGATTTTTGGTAATTTTGGTCCTGTTTTACAAAAAAAAAAAAAAAATGATGATTGAATTTCTTCAAGGAGTCTGCTATTAAAACAAATTTTGACATCACAATTTAATTTCATGAACTTTCATGAAATTAAGTAGGTATGTAAAAAAAATTTTTTTCCAAGATTTCTTAAAAAAAAAAATTCAAATATAATTTAATTCATTTGTGAATAAGTCCTGAAAGTTTCATTAAAATCCAAAAATTATTTGATTTTTTCAAGAATTTCCAAATTGATGTGTTTTTCACCTGAAAAAAAAAGGCACAAAAACACTAATCATAAATATTACATCAAAAGAATAAGATTTTTAACCAAAATTTTGAATATGCTAGAAAAGATTAAAAATTTCATAAAATAATAAAAAAATACTTTGGTTTTTCCTCTTAATAATAGCATAAACATTTTGACAATCAAAATATGTTTTCATTAAGTTTGGGGACTTTTTTTTATCATGCTATGCTGTTTTTTCAGCAAGCAAGTGGAGGTACCTACATGAAATGGTTCCCAGACATGTATCTTAGAACATTTTATTATTTTTTGAGATATACTGACAGGCTTTGGCAGATACATAAAATAGTTCTCACATATATATCTTGGAAACATTATTTTTCTACATATATAGAGAGTTTTTGACAGATACATAAAATGGTTCTCAGGTATATATACCCTGGAAAATTTTATTCTTTTTCTAGATATATACACATAATTTTTGATAGTGGTAATGTATCCATCTTTTATCTCAGTGAGAATATTTGGATTCTAATTACCGATAAGTAGATGTTATTTTGACAGAGATTACCCTTCCATTATTATGTCATTCAAATCTCTTAGCTTGTTAACAGATGAGACAACACCTTAAAAAATGAAAAAAACTATCTTTCTATTCAGTGTTTTGGCTAGAAACTGGTTGATAGTAGCCACTATATGAGAAAATGATTGCTTTGATCAGTCAACAGTCTGTTATAGTTCAAGTTATGTGGTCAGCAAGTAAATTAATTAAAGAGTGAGATGGGCAGTAAGGACAGATAGAAAGGAAAGACTAAATAAGTTAAAGTAAGGTTAGTTTTTCACAGAAGTCAACAAAAATAAAACTTTTTTTTTAATCATTTCACCACAAGCACAGTGGGAATGCTACTAGTATGCAGGGGGTTACAGAGAATGAGAGAAAAGACTAATAATAAGATTGATGAAAGGACAAAAGGTGAATGTGATTCAAGAAGACTGAAGATGGCGATTGATGTTGCATTTAAATTTTTGAAGATTGTATTTATCCGGGAAGCAAGTAAATGGGAGGGAGTTCCACAGGTGGGAAGTACAAGAAAAGAAACAGTTGGAGTAGAAGTGGCAGTAGTATTTAACTATTTTAACAGTAAACAGGTGGAACCTAGATGCCAATCTAGTAGCACACTTAAATTCATGTAGTCAGGTCACCAGAGAAAAAGCTTATCAAAGTAGTTGCCAGGAAAATATTTGTTGAAAAGACAGAGAGAAGTCACATCACATTTGTGAGAGAAAGTGACTGAAGTTGAGATGCCAAGTCAGGATTGATTACATAACAGATCCCTCTTTGGATTTTGTCAAGAACCTTGTGATGAATAGCAGGGTCACCGGACCAGATATGGCAACAGTATTCAATGCACAGATGAATTTAACAAGAATGGTATGAAAGTAAATAATATCACAGAGAAAACATTGTGATTAAAAAATGTAAATGGCACAGCCACTCATATCTGAGGATGCCAGTCTCCTAGGACAGCTTGCTAATTCCCATTGCAGACACCTGCTCATGCACATTTATGTTTGTGCAACATCCAGAGTCCACCTGTGGTTTATATGCAACTATGCTGAGTGGACATTAATTACAGTTTCTGGGAGAGTACGCATTATCTAGCATGATCAGCAGTACAAAGGCCAGCACACTCAAACCCTCGGTCATGATGACTTGTGACTTCATTCTAGCACAACCATTGATGGCTTCCAAGCGTTCCGTCTACCCATTTTCACACACAAGACTTGAGTCAACCTGTGGTATGGTTTTCAGGTACTTTCCAAAAGTGCCACATGCTGCGACCGCCTCCCCCAGACTGGTAACATCAAGAAGTTACCTTCCTGACAAATCAATTCTGGTGAGATTCAAACTCAGTTATCATGGTCAGAAAGCAAATGTTCTAATCACTCGGCTATGTGCCCATAAACATTGTGAGTCTATGTATGCATATGATAGTCCATGTGAGTATATATATGCATATGACAGTCGTGTGGATATAAAAATGTTCAAGCAACTTACTTGCAAAAATGGTCCAAGCCAGATTTACTTGCTATGATTATTCCCTCCTTGTTCTTTCTGAAAGAGCACCATCTTAAAGTTTTTCTTTATGGGGGGTTGTGCATGCCACTAAATCTGGGAGGTCTGACTCACATAGAGCCTAGTTAGAGTTTTCTCATAATTCTCTGGAACTCAATTTTAGCACCATTAGTTTTCATTGGTTAAATAGCATCGTGTAAGTACTTGCTAAAAATTATATATATTTGAAGAAAGGTCATCTGGTGCTTTCTTATTCACTCCCTCAAATTTCAGTTTGCATTAGCAAATCTAGGTCTTCTATGCATTTAGGGAATTTTTTCTTTGGAAACATGACAAGCTCCCCACCTTAAGATTGATGAGGGACAAGCCAGTATCATATATTTCTGAAGTAGCTGGGAAAAGCAAATTTTCTACTGGATCTTGTCTGTACTTTGTCTTTTGTTTGTGCTGTGTTAGCACAATGTTGTGTATTCTCAGCTTGTATTAATATTTTGCATGCATTTTTGGAATTGGTGTAGGATCTTGTTAATGATGTTGCTTCAAAAAAGAAGGTTTTATTGTGTCTATGGCAAGGGTGACTTGTCTGTTTCTTTTTTATGTTGTCATCTGTTTGCTCTGTCTAATACTTTATAAGGAAATTGATAGTTTGCTGTGAGTGTTTTTAAAACATCATTTTGTACGAATAGATACTTTCAGTCATAACAGTTCTTGAGTGTACATAATTGTTTCGTAGTTTGTTCAGGTGGTGTTGGTTGTTTTCATTTAATAGCATATCAACCTCTATGGGTTATTTAATGCCGAAATCTAAATATTTTGTATGCAATTTTATTTTATTGGTTTTTTTCATATAATGATATTTTTAGTGATAGACATCTTACTAATTAACCCATAGCTGGGGGAGGGCAAGAAGAGGTAGATTCATACCTTTTCCTAATGTATTTGTGCATAAATGAATATAGCAAACCCAATAGGAACTGGAACTCATCTCTCCAATTAAAAATTCTGAGCTGTTATCCATTACACCACCCACATATCCAAGCTTACAGCACCTGGTATTCCCAAGTGGTGACTCATCTAAGCACTGATCAGGCTTGACATTGCTTAACTTTGAGGATCGTACAGGAACCAGCGTTTCAAGATGATGTGGTTGTAAGCCTTCAGTAGGTGTAAATTGGAGGTTAAACATCGGTTTTCACCAAAGTACAAAGCAACACCCCAATGTCATGCAGATTAAATCTTCTTTGCTTATGTTCCTGATGGACAGGTGTATTAAGATAAGTTGTAGATTTTGTTTGAGACATTCATTGTTAAAAGAGTTTTGAACAATCTATGGATCTGCTTAACTCTTCCATTAGAACATGGATGTTATACTGTTGTTTTGAATAGATTTAAAACCTAATAAGTTACTGAATTCAAGGAAAAGTATAAAATGCAAATTTGCCCAGTAGTCTGTGATGGTAATATTTTGGAACACCAAAGACCCATTTCAATACAGCTTTAGCTAATGCTGCAGCATATGTACATTTCAGAGGAATAGCTGTTGGCAATCATATGAATCTCTCAACTATAGTAAATAAGTATGAATGTCTTTTACAAGTGCGTAGTGGTCCTATTATATCAATATGTAAGTGTATGAATCTAGCATCTGAAATACTGAATATGTCCATTTGTGTTTGGGTGTCCCTCTGTATTTTGCATTTTTAACACTTTAAATACACTATGAACAGTTTCAGATATCTGTTGATAAAATGCTCAGAGTAGTATCCTGCTTCCCACCTCATTCAGCTGTAGGGATTGTCACTCTTACCCTAAACTTTCATCTAAGTAGTCATGCAAGAAAGAATATTATCACCCATCATCCTTGTATGTAACTTTTTGAATTTAATTATGTATTTATTTTATTTTCTATCTGTCCCTCTCTCTTTTCCTCATTACTAATGTCTTCTTGTTTTTTTTTTTTTTTTTTTTTTTGAACTGAATTTATTTTACCATCTTTTTCTCTTGTTGAAAACGTTGAATATTATGTCTTTGGCAATTTTTCGGGTTTATACAAGCACTGGATGTTAATTTTTAATTGTGGCTCACAGACTGTTGGAGTGATTCTCTTCTACAAGAAGTGAATGTTGAACTTGAACGAAGTTAAAATTTTATATTTACATTCCAGGTTCCCTATCCATACCCCACCCTCCGACTCATATGCTTCTCCTCGATCCAGCTGTAACAATCGATATGGGCAGGTGTAGTGAATGCTCAGGTATCTTCCTTTACCCTCTCCACCCAATGCGACTTTTAAACCTCTAGCCCACGAGCGATATATACATATCTAACTTGCGCCATGGCTCCCCAGCCAGTAGAAAAAAAAATATAAATGAGGAGGGTAAAAAAAATCAAGTGCGGTATTCACCGGCAGAGTGACTCTTCTAAAGGAAATAGATTCCAGGGCTCTCTTTCTTCGCACACCACATACTGGGCACTTTTCAGTTGACAAAGTCAGTCATATCGGTTTCACTTTCTTTTTTCCTGTCAATCTATTCGTCAGACTAGCAAATGTAATCCGCCCAAAAAAGAAACGTTTCCTGTCGCTCTTAGTATCTCGCTTTTTATGTCTCCTCAAGCAGGTCAGAATTTGCATATGTGCAAATACTGTCTCATACAGATGAGACAAGCACTCATAAATTGCGCCCTCAAGAGAGGCTATATTTTCTTTTCAGCCCTTTGGACACATATTACTACTACACAGCCCAGCTTGGCTCTCCATTTATGTTTCTGTGCTTGTTGTTGTTGTTGTTTTTTGTTTGTTTCTTGTGTTTTTGTTTTTTAATAGGAGTAGATAGGCTTTCCTATCACCTGGTTCATACTCCTCCACCTTCTTTTAAACAGTAGTGGCTCATCCCTGGTTTTCATGTTTAGTAAGAAGTTCCTAGGTCCTTTTCTTTTCTCTAGCCTTAGCAGTAGTGCTATCGAGAAGCTCTTGTGATGTGTGTAGTTTGTGGCAATGTCTCTTCATACTGAGGGTATCAGGCTGGGTGTTATCTGATTGCTGTTCCTGACTGGTAGTTAGGTGCCTGAACTCTTGTGTAGTGTCTTGAGTTCAGGCTCTGATCAACAGTTGCATAATATTGGGGTTCTTGCAGTGCCATGTCGTGCATGGATGGGTGTCCCTGCATGCATCTCTGGTGAGCAACCCTGAGGCTACATTATGCTGTAGTCTTCACTAGTTCCTATTTGTTCATGCCACATTTGATGATCAACTGCTTCTATTACTTTAGGCCTTTTCCTTACCAACAAAACATGACTATAAGCAACCAAAAATATAAACTTAAACCAGCTCAAAAAAATCACCTAAACCCTTTAACATTTCTTTCTCCAACATCTGTGGTATTCATACCAATTTCTACAGTGTGGAATTGTTCCTCTTTGACAAAGGCTCCTGTTATATTAGCTCTCCATGAGACTAACCTTCTCATCAATCTCTTCCTCTGATTTTTTGACTCCTGCTACATTCCTCTCCTTAGAAAGGAATCTAAAATCCACATGCATGGACTGGAAGTTTATGTCTGTGATCATCTCCAACTGGCTCTCTTTGGAATATCCAGACCATTCATATATGTGTCTCCGTGTATCTCTCCTCAATTCTTTCTCTATTGTTCCCCTTCCTCTCAAGACTGTTGTGTATTTGATAGCATTTCTGATAATATAGACAAGGCCATCTCTCTACATCCGTTTGCAAACATATTTGTGTTCAGTGAATGCCCACCATACCAAGTGGCTTAAACAGTCTGTGACTGACGTTGCTGGCATCCAAACCCTTAGCTTTTCAATCACTCAATCCCTCACACACATTGACTTTCCTATACATTTCCCCAGTAACCTGGATGGTAACACTTCCCTTCTCAATCAGTTTTACCTCCATACCTGATTGTTGTTGCACTACAAAGCTCTATCCTCTTGGAAAATTTGATCCTGTGGTGGTGTTTGTTAACATATTACACTCTCCCCTCTAGCGATGAACATCCTATTAACAGAATATCTTTCTGTTATCAACGCACAAATTGGGACTCGTTTCATGATTTCCTTCATGACATTCCTTGGAATGTGGTGCTTAATCATCCTATGCAAAAATGTGTGTCTGAGGTCCCCTCCTGGATAAAAGTCGGCATCGAGTCTTAAAGAAAAATTAAATCGCACTCATCTCCTTTTTCTCACCTGCTCACTCTGCTGCTATAGCCCATAGGAATCACTTCTTCTGTCTGTACTGAAGTGATATGTCTGATTGCAACAGATGCCTCTTTTTTTCTTTACTCATAATGAATACTAGTGTGTCCTCAATGAAGCAAAGTTACTATTTGCTGATAGAATGAAACAACATATTGCATCTTGCAAGTTTGGTTCTAAAGATTATTGGCAGCTCTTCAAGAGTGTGCTGAACTAAAGAAAAAACCTCAATGACCTTCTCTATTCAATCAATTTGAAGTCCTGACATCCAAAGCTGATAAGGCTGAATGTAATGCTTAGAAATTCTCATCCAACTCAACATTCAACTTATCCGGAGTAACCACACCTGATTTTCCCCCTAGAACTGAGGCTCTATTGAGTGAGATGTGCATAACCCTGTTGGACATCATCTCTAAATTAAACTCTCATAAAGCAAGTGGTGGTGACAGGATACCAGCCATATTCTTAAAGAAATATGCCTCTGAGATGACTCCAGTTCTCTCCAAACTATACAATCTTGCAGATTCTTGCTTTCCAGTCTGTTGCAAGTCCTCCTCTGTCACCCCCCCCCCCGTCTGGTGACCCTTCTAATCCATCTAACTACTGTCTCATCAGCCTCCTTCTACTCATCAGCAAAGTCTTCGAGGCTTTAATCAAAGCCGAATTAGTTAAGCATCTCACCTCCCATGATCTGCTTTCTGACAAACAATTATGGTTTCTGCTTTGTCCAGTCAACCACTGATATGCTTATGGCCATAACTGAATATGTATACCAAGCTCTTGATAATAATGGTGAAACTCAAGTTGTTGCTCTAGATATATTGAAGGCATTTAACGTTCTATGTAAGCTTCAGGAATATGGTATTACAGGACAATTATTTGATTTAATCCAATCATTCCTGTCTAACCCTGAAATGAAGTCTTCCAGTTCCTACCATACAAACGCTGATGTTTCTCAAGGGTCTATCCCTGGTCCTACACTGTTTCTGATCTTCATCAATGATCTTCCTGATGCCATCAGTTCTCAAGTCAGCATCTATGCAGACAACGCTATCATTTATTCCAGTTTCAATAGTAAATCCGGCATTGCTGACAAAGTCAACCTGGCCATTGGTCTCGAAGACAACCTCCTATCTGGGGTTGACTATGGCAGGAAATGGTTTGTGTATTTTAATGCATCCAAAATTAAACTGCTGTCATTTAGTCACCATAAAGAATCTTCCCTGCTTCTTATCAGCATGGCTGATGCTCAACTCCATGAGAGTGCTTAAATGTGCCTTCTTTCTCTCACATTCTCCACTGAACTGAGGTGGAACAACTACATTCAATCAATAGCTGCATCTATTGCAAGGAAAATTGGTTCTCTATGTTGTGCCAGAAGGTTTTTCTCATATGGGTCCATCTTTCACATATACAAAGCTACCATTCATCTATGCATGGAATACCGTTATCATATATGGTCTGATACACCGAGTGTTCATCTCGAGGTTTGTAACAAAATCCAAAGGGATATGCAATATGATTGGTCTTGACATGGGGTCTTGACTCCAGTCACTTTCTCACTGACGTAATGTGGCTTCCCACTGCTTTTTCTACTAGGTTGGCATCTTAGTCCAACCCTTTTACTGCTGAAACAGTTAAATGTAACCACCTCTTCTACTCCAACAGCTTATTCTTTCACACTTCCTGACAGTGGAAACCCTTTCCTCTTACTTGCTTCCATGATAACAATAATAAATTTAAATATATTGTCAATCAACATTTCCTGTTGCCTTGATCTCTGTTCTTCTTTTTATCCTTTCCTCAAAGTCAACCTCCCACCCAGTCTTTTCCCTTACACTTTCTGTAACCTTTTGCATAGTAGTGGCACTCCCGCTTTGCTTGGGGTGAATTGCTTAAAAAAAAATCAGTTTGACTATAGAATATTTAATCACAT